AACATTTGATATATTATATAATATATATTATATATTTATTAAAAAATTATTATTTTTTAATCTTTTATGACATGACATTTTATAATTAATTCATTTATGACATGAAATTTTGTACATTTTTTATAAAAAGTAATATTTTATGACATGACATTTTATAATTAATTCAAGTTATTTATAAATTAAAATCCATTAACTTGTTTAACTTATTTAATATTATATAATATTGTACAAAATTTTTTTAAGATATAAGAATTAAATATTAAATAAATCCTAAATTTATAATTAAGAGTATAAATAACTATATAATTAGATCATATAACTAGTGGTATCAAATATATTCTAGTTACTTGCATTAGAGGATCACTCAAAATTTAGCCTTATCCATTATTACTTTCACTGTATCAAAGAAGTATTTTTTTTTATTTTATCTTCAAATTAATAATATAGAGATTATTTCTTTTGTTTTTAACCTATATTATTGTTAGGGTTATTTGATATATTAACTTAAAATTAGTTGTTAGTAATTTTATCTAATTTAATAGTTAATAATTGTTATTATTAATAATTCAACTATTATTTATTAAATTAGATAAAAACTACTAACTGTTAAATTCAAATCAAAATATCGAACATTCACTTAAAAAAGAAATTAAAATAATGTTAATAAGAAGAATAATTAAAGTTAAAAGATGAAAATAAGATTAAAAAATATTTATTTCACTTAAAATATTAAAAAAAAAAACCAATATTTTCAGATAAATTCTAAATAAAAAAAAGTCTATGATTATAGGATTGGTGGAGTAAAATTTGATCTTATCCCAATATTGTCGACTTCTGAGACAAAATCAAGAAGAGAAGTGTTATGTGCACTTGATGGCACTTAGGGTCACATTGATCCCTTACCCTTTTCTTTTTTTTTTTTTTTATTCTCTTTTTGAATTTTTTTTAAAAAATTTATTGTTTAAAAGTTAAAAAATTAAATTAAATCTACTAAAAATGAATGGAGAGTAATTGAAATTTTTTTGATTAA